ATTTTTTTACATTATTTTTTTTTTTCTTCTATAAAACAAATTCAAAATTTTTATTTTTTTCTTCTATAAAACAAATTCAGACCATGAACAAATTCCAGTCATTTAACGCCGGTTCCTGACATTGTTTAATAAAGATTGCTCTTTTTTTTTCCTTTAAAAAAAGGACAAAAAATCCAGTCATTTAAGCTGGAGACTTACCGAGCCCAAGAGGGTCAAAGCCGAAGTCGGCGGGCAGGCTGAACGGTTCATCCGAGTCCAGTAGCGCAAGTCCGACCGCATGGGTTCGTTGCACATAGGCCCACCGATGACCCCGATTGAATTTCATTCCGAGTCCCAAGCAGGCATGGAGGGGACCCACAGTTTCGCATATCATGGGACACACACAACACAAGAAAAGCGATGGTTCCAACCGTGAGCAAACAGGATAAGGTAAGGTCGGGGCCACTAGGGTGTGTAGACAATGAGAGAGAGAGAGAGAGAGAGAGAGAGAGAGAGAGAGAGAGAGAGAGAGAGAGAGAGAGAGAGAGAGAGAGAGAGAGAGAGAGTAGTGTCGAACGATTTGTAGCCGAGACAGCAACCCTTTGAGAGTCGAGCCATGCGGTTCAAGCGATAACAAAGTCGAAAAGGCAAAAAATAGCATGCGGTTCCAGCAAAGAAATGAATTAATCAATCGGATAAAAAACCATACTTCTCGTTCCCACCAACCAGCTGCCGGAAATATTTTCACTACTGAACAGATGGGAGTTATTTCATCTACACGTGTATCATACGGTGTATGTACACGAAGACGTGAGTTATACTGAATATATTTTCACTACTGAACAGATGGGAGTTATTTCATCTACACGTGTATCATACGGTGTATGTACACGAAGACGTGAGTTATACTGAATACTCGGTAAGTTATACACCACTTCAAATCTATCTTTTCGAGAAGGATAATCAAATCCACAGTGGCAAAAACAGGGTCTGCATCGTATTTAGCTAAATCACGACTCAATTTTGGAGTTTTGAATTGTTTTCGTAATTTGAGAATTTGACTTATTTTCGGCAATCCATCATTACATAATAACACATAAAAACTCAAATAAAATACACATAACCAAAGGAATGAAACGAAAGCGCTCGGCTTTATTCATCCATCATTGCAATTTGCGAATTCAGGAAACTAGACCAAGCTACACCTACAAAAAAAAAAAAAAAAAAAAAAAAAAA